ACGGCTTGGTGGTCGAGGGCTCGCCGAACAGCACAAAGTTGTACGAGAACTCGTTCATGACGGCCGTGCCCTGCACCAGCTCGCCCAGGAAGCCGTTGATGCGCATCGCCGCCACGGCCTTGTCGTAGCCTTCGGGCGAGAGCGTCGCGCGGAGCACCGCCATGACGCCGTCCCGCACCGCCGGCGACAGCTCGTCCAGCCGCACGCCCTTGTCGCTGAGGAGGAACTCCGGGTTCGACCACGTGCGCCACTCGGGCGAGTCGATGTGGTACGACACCCGAGCCACCTGGGCCGGGGTCAGCTGGCGGATGAGCGCCTGCGTGGCCTCGACGATACGGTCGATGGGAACGCCCTCGTCTTGGATCTTGAACAGGTCCCGCCGCACGGTGCCGTCGTTGGTCACGCCCTTGAACGGCTCCTTGAGCAGTTCCAGCCAGTGCAGGTACAGGGCGTGCAGCCAGGGCGGGACCCCAGACTCCTTGAACGCCGCGGCGTAGACGTGGGCGTCTTGTTTCGCCATGGTCGTGAACCGCGGGATGGTCAAGTCCGGCAGGTATTGCCGGTACTCGCTGTTGCTGTCGCCCTTGGAGGTCGCCATGGTTGGTCTACTGGGCTGGTCAGACGAAACCAGGGGGGGAAGTGGATGTAGGGAGGTAGGTAAGTATGTGCGTCAGCACGAGTTGAGCCCCCGGCTTTATCTGAGCTGCGCTTCAAGTCAAGTTGGTTGTGTATATCTTCCGCCGCCGCCTCGATGTCCGTTTGTTCAGTCAGTGAGTAGATTCCTCCGAGTCATCGAGAAATGGTATACATAGCGTGTTCCCTCTCCCCACGAAGGGTCATTTGTGGCGGGGCAGCAGGTGGTGAGCGAGCATTTCTTCATTGTCAGTCCATCCCCATCGGAAGACGCACCCAGGTGCCAGGCACCCCACAAAATCCGGTCTCGGCGAATCAATAGTCCGGACCCGACAATATCAGATCGGAACAAGACTCTTCCGATTTTGTTTCGTCCTCGCCCAAATACTTTGTCGCTCCCTTTTTGTTTTTTTTGTACTTCTGTATATAATATATCAGGCCAGGATCAGGCCACTGGGTCCTGAGGAGGGAGGACTAGACAGGAAAATGCTAAGAAAGGCAGCCACCAACGGGGCATGGAAACGTAAGCGAAAAAAAAGTTCTTTGTGGAATGGTTGGTCACATTGTGCACATCAGCTCACCTTTTTTTCTTTTCTCTCCACGAACAAAAGGGCTGGTCCGGTTCGTGCCTCGATCAGATCCCTCAAAGGTCCTGATTGGACAACCCCAAAACGACGATGTCGACGTCGGTATTGCCCTGCGGAAGGGCCAGGATGTCCCTGTCGATGTCTTTTCCGGCTCGTCGGTCCTCTCGCCAGGTCGGGAGACCGGGTCCAGCGCCATCATCGATCGTGTCCTGTCGCCTCTGGCCATGTCCGAGGTCGGCACGATTCGATGTATCGGGTTGAACGTGAGTGACCGCGGCCGCTACCGAGGATGAATGCTTACCAGGCTACTCGGGGGATAACAGTACAAGCAGCACGCGGCTGAAGTCAACATGGCCCTGCCGACAGTGCCTACTGTGTTTATGTGAGTTTGGAGGTCTTGCACCCATTGAGTGCGGAGCTGCGTCAACCTGAGCTGAGCTGAACGCCTGGAAAGGAAACCAAACACCTCCCTAGGCGACCCGTGGCCCGCGCCGACCATCCTCCCGAAACTGACCCAACACGACGACAGCGGCGACTACGAAGCCGAACTGGCCGTGGTGATTGGGACAACCGCCAAAAACGTCTCCGAAGCAGACGCCATGGCCCACGTGCTGGGATACACGGCGTGCAACGACGTGTCGAGCCGGACAGCCCAGTTCGCCCAGACGCAGTGGTGTTTCTCCAAGGGATTTGACGGCGCGTGCCCCATCGGACCGACACTCGTTTCTGCATCTACCCTACTCACGGACCCGTCGAAACTCCGTCTCCGCGGCGTCAGGAACGGCCGCGTCCTCCAGGACTGCGGGACCGACGACCTCATCTTCCCCGTCGCCCAGCTGGTCAGTTTTCTCTCCCAAAGCACGACGCTGCTGCCCGGAACACTGATCCTCACGGGCACGCCCGGCGGTGTGGGAGTCGTCCGCAAACCGAAGGTCACGATACGGCACGGCGACGAGTTTCACGTCGAGATCTCGCCGTATGTCGGCACGTTGGTGAGTGTTTTTGAGAATGAATGAATGAAAGAGGCGAGGCCAGTTGAGTCGAGTGGAGGATCAAGTCGAGCTGAGTATGGTAGACGATATATCCGTCTTTCTATTCGCTCTGGCTGGCCGGCTGGCTGAGCAATGCCATTTTTGTCGAGGATAGTGACATACTGGATAGATGATGTGAAGATGGAGGATTTCGGTTTCCCTCTATCAGGCCCAAAAAAAAGTGGGTTGGGGATAGAGGACTATTCGCTAGATTCTGGAATATATCATATGGAAGAGGCGAGGTTAGACGACATTGGATAGATCAAAAGATGTCATTACCATCATCATCAATCCAACAGGGAGTGACATGTACATCAATACACCACTAATCCCGCAGGTGTCCATGTAACGCGCTCTTTGAATCCCAGACCAGGTCACAAAACAAAACCCTCCTCGTGATCCTGTATATAATATCGATCACCCCCTCGTCACCCCCTCGTCACCACCTCCCTGATCTTTTCCGGCCTCAACTCCCCCTTCCTCCCCCATCCCCCCTGCCCGCCCTGGACCGTGGGACGGAACTCTTCGTACATGTGGAATGCCTTCAGGTTAAGCTCGTTCTCTTGACCCTTGTTCTTCCAAGAGTTGATCGCCTCCTCCATGGCACGCTTGATCCTCTCGTACCCGTCCCCATCTCCGAACTTGTGCCTCAACAATTCCTCGTTCGCCTTGTGCGGTTTCCCCGAAACAACCGCGGCTTGGTCCTTCAACAACAGCCTGAAACGCATGACGTTGACCTCGTCGTCGGCGCCTTCCTCGGCGGCCCGTTTCTTCCTCTCTTTCTCGGCTCTCTCGGCCGGGTCGTGGGATGGCTGGTCGATCATGCCGATCGCGCGGCCCTTGGAGATGGCGCACAGTGTGGAAATCGCAGAGCCAATACTCAGATGAGTGCGCCATGGAAGATCCGGGTAGAGTGCCTGCGAGACACAAGCCCCCCAAAGCTGCAGGACTGGCGCCCGGTTGATTATTACGGGTTCGCTGGTTTCGGCGGGTGCTAGATCCTCGTCAGGCTTAATAGAGGTCTGCTTCTGTTGCTGATTTGGTTTCTTTGCTGGACGCACAGTTTCTTCTGCTTCCGCGTCGTCGTCGCTCAGTTTGCGCTTGCGCTTGGATCGAGCTTCGCTCTCCCTCTCAGTCGTGCGATTTGGTGCGCGCTTGCGCCTGGAATCATGCACTTTGGCTTTCTTTTCCCCTTTGGAGTCAAAGTCCTCCAAGTGTGTCTGCTTCTGATTACCTTTGCTTCTGGTGGTTACTGGCATGGTGTCTGGTTATCGCGACCCATGTAGCATATTCGGTAGAGGTAACGAGAGATATCTGATGGTTCGATGGCAAGGCTGGACTATGGTGCAGCGTCATTCGACACATGACGTCAGGGTGGACGGGATTGGCGCTTTAGAGGCCGTCGACATGTGGCACGGATATGTGATCCTTGAGTCTCGCCAGCCTCGTTCTCCCGATGAGATGAGAGGCTGCCTCCACCTCTTGAGATGATTCATGCTCGTGATTATCTTGTGGCTGTGCTTGGGTGCGTTCTGGTTTTGCTTGGGTCCGATCGACCGGCGCCTGACGATATTCTGGAGCACGCCGAACTGGTCTTCATCAAACCATTCTTGCAGCAGTTCGCTAGCCTTCACAATTTTCCCCACCGTGTTAGTTGTGGTGTGTTCAAGGTCTGCTCCATACCGCACTAAGAGTTTGGTGGCTTAAAACTTGTTTGGTGTATCCAAATGGCCAAAGAGCCGTAAGTCTGTCAATAGACGGCTCCATTCCGACTCATCCTCGAAACTATTGTTTGGGTCCAGGCCATGAAACGAGGAGGAGCTCAAGCGTAGCCACAGCCGGCTCTGCCTGCTCAGCAGTACCCGCGAGGCCTCAATCTCGGATCCTGATACTCCCATGATAAACACGAGCTGAATGATTGTCGCAATATGGTCTATCACTCGCCAAGATTAACAATCTCATTCGCACGTACTGACTACTCTACTTCACACACGCAAACCAAAAGAAGAAGAAAAAGAAAAAAAGAAAAAAAACAGCAACCAAAGAAAAGCACACCCAAAACTTCTCCGGAGCAAAAACTCTCATCGAGAGAAACCTTGGTAGTTTCTGTTCGAACCCCAGGTTTTTTTTTTTTGTTTTCGTGACTGGTTGTACAAGTTGAATGGCTGTCTTTTCTCACCCTACCCTCTCTCTCTGCCTTCGTCACCTCCACAAGGGGAGGGGATGAGTGGGCAGAGACTCTGGGAAGTTGTAAGTGGTACCGAGACAGACTGCATTCAGGTCACTGGCAATCTTGGACATCAGTTAGTCAGACGAACTGCTCCCTAACTGTGGGACCCGGATGGGTTGTCCTTGGATTGTTGGGAGAGAATTCGTGAGTGTAATTGATAGGAGACCTTTTTTTGGGTGGGTACAGGACTTTCTTCACTGCTCACTGCTGACTCGTCTGTGGCAGGGAAAAGGTCCGGCAGGAAAGAGGGCGAGGTGTCAAGGGTGGGGGCTCACATGGTGGATGAAGCCAGGCTCGCTGCTATACCACAGACGCAAAGCTTAGAAGAATCTAGGGCGCAACCAGCTGGTCTTCAAGTTATCCTAGGTTTGGCTCCAAGCGACCTCATTCATGCACAGAGACTGACTTCTATATTCTTACTCGAGAGCAGATTTGCTTCACAAGAAGAGCTACCACGCAGATTGCACGTCATCAACCCCTCTAGTTTCCTGCTCCATTACGTCGCTGGACGTCAAATCCCTAGGAAATCTTGGGCGCAGGAAGACAAGATGAGTGGACAACCTTTCCGGATACCCAAGATGAACACTGTCCGTCAGAACCTCCATATCCAGCTTTAGCCACGGCCTCATTCCAGTCTGGAGCCTTGTTGTTGAGACTGGAATGTAGAATTCGTGGTTAGCGAGGCCATCTAGCAACAAGCATTGAATGGCAAAGCGGCAAAGGGGAAAGCATTATGACATACCAAGGCGAATTTGTTCCCTGAGGGCATTGCCTGCATTTGATCGACGCAGGCTTGCCATAGTTGTTGTACAAAGCACCCAGGTTCGCTGTGCCGGGGTACGTGAGTTTCCCATCCGTCATGCCGTTGGTCGCTGCGCAGCCTTTGGCATAGTAGATCTTGCACTGCCAACCATTGGGTGGCTGGAAGACATGAGAGCATAGGTCAGCCAACACTTCACAGATAATCATCATTGGGGAAAGACAAGGATATTCCACGTACCCCGACAGAAGAACCAGCATCCGAAGGGTAGTCCAAGCATTTCGAGTCGGTGAGCTTGTTCCAGTTGCATGGTGCCAACCAATTCTTGTTGTTGCAGATGTACACTCCCGCAGGCGGAGTCCTCTTGGCCAGCCTTGCTCCCTCTGACTCATCGACAAAGTACTCATCCTCCGGCGTCAATTCAGGGGTGAAGGTCTCGACCTCGTCATCAATGGATGGCAGCACGGCGGGCTCGGTTATTTCAGGCCCTTCTTGAGTTGCGACAACGCTTGAGAAGCCCACAAGAGCGGCGGCGGTCGATAAAACCAAGGCTAATGCGCGCATGGCGGGAAATCTGGAGGCAGGGTAAGAGTAGAACTGTGGTGGAAAGGGGGGGGGCCGGTCGAGAGCAAGGCGATTGACAGAAAGGGTTTCGATTTCTGCCTTTTCATGCTGTGGACACGATATAAAAGAAGACAACAACCACGGGCGATTCGTTTGCGGGTTGCATCGGCCTGTGGCTGCGACTATTGTCTCTCTTTGTCCTCGTGGTAACAAAGAGGTTTCTCCCGTTGGTGGACCCCAAAATCCAAGGAGATGTTCCATTTCTTCAAGGAACTGATTGTTCCAGCTACCAGAAGAGAGAGGAAGAGGTTAGAGTTGGAGCAAATTCGGACCAACATTTCAAGAAGACGAAACAGTAACGGGAAATAGATAGCTCGAGCCTTGAGGTTGTTCCATCTGGTATCAGCTTCGTGCGGAGGCGAGAACCACCGAGCCATTTGTGCTTGGATGAAATTGTCCGTGCACAAGCACAGCCTCCATGAAAAGAATGCAGCATGTTTGCATCGAGGAGCTTTGTCCACCCCATAGACAGGTAAAACTGCGCCCTTTCATCAATTTTGCCGTGGCCGAAGAACGCTGGGAGCTGACATCTAATAGAGAGCTAATGGGGAATGTTGATCAGAGCCAGATGGATTTCGACGTCGGGCTTCATAACCGTGGCAACCCTTTGTGTCAATTCTTGTACCTGTCTCGCATTTGCAGTCTGTCAGCCGGTATTTAGTGAATGTGAACCACCTTCTCTGTGTCAATGATTGGACCAAGGGTCCATGGCCTGACGTTCTCGCGGGGAGACGGGAATCGCGAGTAGTAAGCACGTTATCTTGGATCGTGATAGATCAGGCGCACCACTGCTGGTCGGCTATCTTAGTCCCACAGTATCGATAGCCCACTTTGATATATGGGTAGGGAGATACTCCACCGACGCCGCTATCAGCTCACCAGCAGACCGGTCAAGTGAAAACATGCCAAGGTAAGGCTGTTGCCCCTGTTTCGGCCGCGATGTCCGCGTCCTCCCATTCCCACGCAGTATCTCTCTCTTGATAGTTCGTGTTTCACTGAGTGTTTGTCGCCGATCCTGGATAAGGAGAGAGGTGCAACACTACCCATCCAAATCAGGTCAATCTTCGTCATACTGCAGATAAAGCCAGCAACTGTAAGTCCTGGCTGAAGTCCAACTAGTCGAAAATAGAGGAAGTGAGTCGGGTGGGCGGAATGAGACTGCGCCGCGCCCTACCTGAACCCTCTCTGAAAGCCTTGGGGTAGGCTGAATACGATTGACGACCTAGACGTTGCGCATTGGAAGTTGGTGCAAGTAAGTCTATGTACCACACAATAAGTGCGGATGGCAGATGATTGAATCGCATGGGATGCGGAGATTCGTTCAGGGGTTGCCAAGCCACTTCGGAAAAACGAGATGCCGCGATTCCCTCGACAGCCCCAGCACGCCAGACACGACCAGGATTCGTGATCTTCATCTTATAAGACGCCCACTTATCTCAATCTGTGGATGGGACCACCTGCCACCGACCTGGAGATATCCTCACCATGGCCGGGAAGACTGCAAAGCGGGCAACGGACACGCGGCCCAATTTCTTGATCATCGTGGCTGATGACTTGGGCTTCTCAGACGTGGGCGCATTCGGAGGGGAGATCAAGACGCCCAATATCGACAGTCTCGCCCGCGATGGGATCAGGCTCACGGATTTCCATGCCGCTGCGGCGTGTTCGCCGACGCGGTCAATGTTGTTGAGCGGCACAGACAATCGCAAGTATCGCCCCGGAGACTCGTTAGCACCGGGACATATGGTGAGGTTGGTAGCATCATTCTGACATGTGTGTACACAGACATTGCCGGGCTAGGCACCATGATCGAGGTCATTAAGGAGTTCCAGGTCGGCCAGCCTGGTTACGAGGGATACCTGAATGATCGAGTCGCGGCCTTGCCCGAGCTTCTTCGAGATGCCGGCTACTTCACCCTGATGTCGGGCAAATGGCATCTCGGCATGACACCGGACCGTTATCCATCCAAGAGAGGGTTCGACCGGTCTTTCAGCCTTCTTCCCGTACGAGGAATGTCACTGGCCAACCCGTCAAATTGCTGGCTAACATTTTCTTGGGATCTAACAGGGTGGTGCGAATCACTACGGGTGGGAACCCCAGGTTGACGAGAAAGTGCCCGATTTACTCAAGCGCAATGGCCCCTTTTACGCCGAAGACGACAAGCCAATCCCAGTGGCTGAGTTGGGGGATGACTTCTACTCGTCCGAGTCCTTCACGTCGAAACTGTTGGAGTACTTTGACGCCAGAGACGAGGGTCAAAAGGAGCAGCCGTTCTTCGCCTACCTCCCCTTCTCGGCGCCTCACTGGCCCCTACAAGCACCAGAGGAAGACCGTCGAGACTACAGAGGGGCATACGACGAAGGGCCCGACGTGCTCAGACAGAGACGGCTGCGACGCCTGGAGGAACTCGGCATCATCTCGCCCGAGACCCAGGCCCACGAGGTCTTTGCGCTTCCGCTCGATAAACCCCTGAGCAAAGAGTGGCGCAGCTTGACCGAGGACGAGAAGAAGTTCTCCTCTCGGACCATGGAGGTCTTTGCGGCCATGGTGCAGAACATGGACCGGAATATCGGACGCGTCATTTCCTACCTCAAATCGACCGGCGAGTACGACAACACTTTGGTCATCTTCATGTCCGACAACGGCGCCGAGGGTCTGCTGCTGGAGGCGTATCCCGTGGTCAAGGAGAATATCTTCGACCACATCGATCGATATTACGACAATAGTTATGAGAATATGGGGCGATACAACAGCTACATCTGGTACGGACCACGCTGGGCATCTGCAGCCATGGCCCCGCTGAGACTCTACAAGTCCTTTTCGTCCGAGGGCGGGATCCGCGTGCCGTTCATCCTCAGGTATCCGCCATTAACGTCCGCCCGGGCTGGGGAGCTGGATCGATCTTTTGCGACCGTGATGGACATTGCCCCAACACTCCTACAGTTGGCAGGCACCCAGCATCCTGGAACCACTTACAGAGGCCGGGCTGTTGTTCCCATGCGGGGCACGTCCTGGGTTCCGTATCTATCAGACCCTGTGGTGCAACAATATATCCACGGCGACGACTCGGTCATGGGCTGGGAACTGTTCGACCGCCAGGCCCTCCGGAAGGGCAAGTGGAAAGCCGTCATGATCCCCAAGCCCTTTGGCCCTGGGACGTGGCAGCTGTATAACCTGGAGAGAGATCCCGGCGAGACGGACGACCTGGGCGCAAGACACCCCGACAAGCTGCAAGAGCTGCTCAAACATTGGGACGAGTATTGCAAGGAGGTCGGCGTCGCTGGTGCAGCACCGCAGTATGGAGTGCTGAAGGTTGATGAGGGCAAAGATGCTCTCTGAGCGCTAACCGTGGTGAGGGAGAGTCCCAGATCTTTCGTGATAGACTTACCACTCCCCGCCTAGATGGGTGTCACGCTGGAGTTGGATAGGTGTTTTGAGACGGGGACAGCTTTGGAGCGGACGGTGAGCTCGACGCCGCAGGACCCCCAAGCTAGAAAGGGAGCAGTCTCACCTGTTGAATAACCAAGACTTTGTGCATGGGATAGATTGAGGACCAACCAAGCATAGATCGGCTCACAGGTCCCTCTCAGATCGCGCGTGATAGATCGTGCTATTCGCCGCACAGGATTCGATTCCAGAGTCGTAATCGTCCCCGGAACTCCAACGAGTGACTGTTGGCTGAATACCTACCGGAGACAGTCCGGGAGTGAGCTACTGTAGAGCTGCCGCAGGAACCCCAAGGTCCGCAGCCCCACGATTTTCGGAAATCTCCTCGTCCACAGGCACTGTTCGGCAGTCAGCTTTACACGTGTTACTGTAAACCAAACATGGGTGACCATATAATGTCCCGCATGTCCAATATTGTCCCCCATAAATGCAAACAGCTTCGATAGATTGGCATTTATTGTACTCTATCTTTACCGTCTTGTCTGTAATTGTGAACACCGAGAGGAGAGTCTCGACATCAATTAAAGGCCATGACCGAGCCAGCGAGCAAAGTCGAGGGACTGCCCAAGTTTTCCCGCCACATCACCACGCACGATGCAAACGGAGTAGCACGATTCGTAACGGCCGATCCAGCGGACCCGAGCTCTTCTGCTGCCGGAACACTATCCCCCAACCCTACGTGGTCGAATTTTCCAACGTCTGGGTTCGGACTCGCGTATGCAACAGACACGATCCCGGCCGACTTCAACGGCAACGCCGATTTGGACGCCTACAACGGGTACCTGCAGAAACACCCAGGCATCACCATCAAGGGCGGATCAGTGTGTCGGGTGGTGGACATGGCTCCTGGCGCCAAGTCGCCCATGCATCGCACCATTTCGATCGACTATGGCGTGGTGCTGGAGGGCGAGGTGGAATTGGAACTGGATTCTGGCGAGAAAAGGCTTGTTAGGCGGGGAGACATCTTTGTCCAGCGAGGGACAATGCACATGTGGAGGAACCCCAGCGATTCGCAACCCGTAAGGCTGCTTGCGATCCAGCTGGACAGCAAAGAAGTTGAGATAGACGGCAAGGGGCCTCTTCCCGAATTGTTCCTCTCGTAATATGGAATCGCATTGTCCTCACGGACTGTTCTCCTTCTCTTAGAGCCTGGCACGAAGAGCGACCAGGGATCTGAAGCTCCACCCAATCCTTAAGACCTAACTCCTGACTTGATGCTTGTGTTGACATCTTGTCAAATGGTCTTTACACCGGTAAAATAGACCGTCGGGGGCCGTTGTGCCGTGTGTCGCACTCCGGCTTCGCTCGCTCTGGGCAATAACGCGATCTCGAGCACGACAATTCTAAAGCGAGCGCAGACTCAGGGCCCAGCCAATTAGTGATCATTCGGTACGGGATTGGCTCCGGCAAATGCGCGATCTGGTGTTGCGACTTACCAGTTTCAGGAAATGCACTCCATCTGGCACCAGGGCCCGCCTCACCCTAACTGAAAACTCCACCATGGAGTGTAGATAGCTAATGTCCGCGCAAGTCGACGTGGATCGAGGGGTAGATTGGTAAACAGCCAGAATGTGCAGAAGGAGCCAATCTGAAAACGTCATGATAACGTAGTGTGAAGCCCCTCCACCTGCGGACAACTTTTTTCCCTCTCTCTCTCTTTTCCATTCTCCAATTTTGAATTTCCCAAAAACTTTCCTTGCTCTTCGGTTTATGCAATTGTCGCGGCGACCGAGCTCACCAAGATTCATCAACAACTTAGCTAGAAGCATCTTCAACCCGCAGTCGCAGTTTCGTTCCAGAACTCTCGCAGACATGGCTGTCCGATCCGCTTTCGACCCCAAAGACATGGTACGTGTTCCTCTGTCGGTCGCGTCGAGTTGCGCAGATTAATTGACTTCCACTGTGCAATTAGGTCTTCCGTCACCTCGGCCCTACTGGGTTGAAGGTCTCGGTTCTCTCACTGGGTAGGCAAATCAACGACCATAGGACACAACGGTTTTCAGCGGGCTAACAGCGTGAACAGGTGGCTGGCTCACATATGGTGGCACGCAGAAGGGCAACATTGTGAAAGAGTAGGTCGTGTGCAAGACGTCGTCAAGTCCATGCTAACAAGCCGGAACAGATGCCTGCAAGCTGCTTGGGACCATGGCATCAACTTCTTTGACACTGCAGAGGTGAGCACTTGTCGCCAGTCGCGGACGTACCACTTACATCAAACGTAGACATATGCCAATGGCCAATCTGAGATTGAGATGGGCAATGCCCTCAAGGAACTGAACTGGCCCCGAGACGAGTATGTCTTGTCCACCAAGATCTTCTTTGGCACCGGTCGAAAAGAACCCAATACTCGTGGCCTTTCGCGGAAACATGTGGTCGAAGGTCTCAAGAGCTCCCTGGAGCGTCTCCAACAGCCATATGTAGACATCGTTCTGGCGCATCGACCTGACTATGCTACGCCGATGAAGGAAATCGTCGAAGGCTTCACTCAGGTGATCCGTAATCTCAACCTTGCGTACTATTGGGGGACGTCGGAATGGTCAGCTACCCAGATTACGGAAGCCACCTTGATTGCTGAAAAGTACAACTTGATCGCGCCCATCGCCGAGCAACCCCAGTACAACGCCTTCCACCGTCAGCGATTCGAGGTTGAGTATGCGCCACTGTACAAGGAGTACAAGTACGGCACGACCATTTGGTCGCCGCTCGCATCCGGTCTCCTAACGGGCAAGTACAACGACGGCATTCCCGAGGGCTCACGGTTTGCCAACCACAAAGACTTCTTTGGTAGCACCATCGAATCGCTCCAGAAGCCCGAAGGTAAGGCCAAGATCGAAAAGGTCAAGAAATTGACTGCCATCGCCGAACGACTAGGCGGCAACATGTCACAACTGGCTCTGGCGTGGTGTGCTAAGAACCCCAACGTGAGCACTGTCATCCTCGGCGCCACCAAGGTCGAGCAAATTGTGGACAACTGCAAGGCCCTCAAGCTGTTGGAGAAGTTGGACGACAAGACCATGCAAGAGATCGAGGAGATCCTGGACAACAAGCCCGCTGAGCCGGCAAGTTTCGGGAGATCGAGGTAGGCGGGTCCTTTGTTCGACATCCCTTGCAGAAGGGCCTCTGTCAGTCATTGCCCCTGCCACTGAGCAAGTTCTCGTCCGTACCATGCATCCAACCATGGGCTAGGGTTTGGGTCCACGGGCTGATTCAGGACGTTCCTAGACGCGAATGGCGCCAGAGATCGGCCAAGCTATAGGGGGGCACTTTGGAGGAGCAGGACAAAGACTGCGTTCAGCATAGACGGTCATTTGGCGATGCAATCGAAAAGTTTTGTCGAGAGACAACCCACCGTCCATCACCTACCACTTACCGCCTACTGACTTTCCTTCAGCTGTGTTGAAGACACCCATTGTCTCTTCCAACTGCCACCCAGGAGATGGCTAGACCAGCCCTGTTCAATGTTGTCGATCCCCAGGCCTCGATACCTCGCTCCTCTGACTCACCCTCAAATTCCCCTTGCAGCTCTCTACCTCCCTCTCCCACCGCTTTTTCTCTTGATCGGCGATCCGCGTGGTCCGATCGTTTTTGTTGAGCTGGTCATCCAGCTGTCACCCGCCTGCCATGGTTTCAACTGGCCCGTGCGCACATGACTTGATTGGTGACCCAAGTTTTACAGCGCGCTCTGGGCTTTATCGAACCCAATAGCGCATTTTGACCACCTGGCTGTCATTGGCAGGATATACTCCACATACTCCAGAGCGTTCCCCCCACTCGACTCTGCGATACGTTACACTATCTTGAATGGCCCTGATGTGACCTTGTCGGCTATCTGCGTGACGTGTTGACTCTGGGGAATGCGAGGCTTGCTATCTCTCCCCACCTTGGCATGGAAATGCGAGCAGGTGAGCTGAGGAGGACTAAGTTTTGTTGGTCCTAGGGAGGGTCAAGGTATATGTGCAGGACATTCCCCCCTCCCTAGCCTGGTCTTCCTTCTTTCATCTTCCCTCTCACCGTGTCTATCTGATCGCCTCGTCTCTCCCTGTCTTCTCCAAGTATCTCTCACCTTGCCTACTTCCATTTGGTCTCCCCCATCCATCAGACAGTCCTTGGAGGAAGAAAACAAACGCCATGGACCAGCTCGACGTCGTCATTGACACGTACAACCAAGCAGGCAACTTGGAGGGCAAAGAAACTCGACGGCAACTCACCCTCGACTGCCAGCGATTCGTGGTCAACCACCCCGGCGTGCCCGGGTGTCTCCGCAGGCTGGATCAACTAGCCTGGAAGTTCATGGTCCGCGGCGGTGGCGCGGCTCACTTCACCAGACCGGCCTGCCAGTGGGACAATTACGACCACCAGTACAAGATCCTGCAGTGCGTCCAGGCCATCATGGCGCTGTACGACAACGGCGGGGTCTTATCCCAAAACCCTCCCGCGGACGTGGCAGAGGACGTGTGCGTCGCCGCTACCAGGATGGCCACCCAGCGGCAGGTGGATCCTCTCCAGCAGTCTGGAGGGGAGTTCCCAACCGGTGTTTGCGCAAAACCCCAGCTCGTTCTGCAGGAATTAGCTCTCTCCAGGACAGGTACAGTTCCGACAATCCCCCTCAGCGGCAGTTCTGTCTTCCCGCCCTGCCCACACAAGACACTCATCTCGTTCACATATACACCACATGTCGTCCCCGTCCCTGCCCACATCTCGCACTGTTATATGACCACCCCCCCCCCCCCCCCCCCCCTCCCTTCTTCATGTATCTTACTAACCCTCTGCGACAACGGCATTTGAAGACTTGGAGAAATGCCGCGCCAACACGTTGAAGAAGAAGGTGGACCTCCCATCCCTGCCGAGTGGGGACAAATCCCCCAACACAGTCTCCCCGGCGGCGCCATCTCCACGTGCGCAGACACTGCCACTCCGATTCTCTCCCTGCCGTCCTCGAGAGACAGCCCCCAGAGTGACCACCTGCGTGGTCGACTGGGGCTCAGCCATAGAAAACACTCACGCCGAGCTACGAGCGCTTCGGACAGAGCTTCATACATGGGCACCGAGCCAACGAAAGGCGGCCAGAGAAGAGGCCAAGCAGGGAACGACCAAGAAATTGGCCAAGACACCAGACGTCGAGGTTAAGATTGAACCGGGAACTAGCAGAGACACCGGCGGAAGAAGAAGCAGCAACAACAAAAACATCACCTGGGACACCTGGGACAACTGCTCGGTCGATTCTCCCTATTCCACAGAATGAGTCTGTGGCCACGTTGACGTCGACCGTGGGTTGAAGTACCGTCTGTGTGTCTGTCTGCATATGTGGATGTATGCACGTATGTACCAGCCTGCTATGTTGTAGGGTGTCTTGACGGAACACCTATCGTCTCTGTGGGCAAGCTGATGGGAGATAGGAGGAGGGGAAGGAAGGATGGATCGATGATTGTGAATGTCACAAATCACAATTTTCTTCAGGGCGGGATGGGATGGAACAGCGCTGCTCGCGATCGATGGATGGATTGACGGGTGGAAACCACTCTTTTGTTTTTTCTTTTTTCCTTTTAACTTGCAGTACAGATAGGAAGGCAATCTGACACCACACTCGCTTGGAACGGAAGGAAAGGAAACGCAAGGAAATGCAAAATGGAGGGTGGATTTTCTGATATAGTCATCTATAATGAAACAACACTGCCCGTCCGCGTTGAAGTTGTTGTTCCCTTTGCGCATGTGCATGTGTGATCTCGCTGACGAGAGGCGGAATGGTCTCCTAGTCACTCATACTCATACTCATGCCGGAGGGGGCGAGGGTCGCATCATGCGTACAGTACTAAGGCGGAGGAGAAAAGTGGCCGAGAGGTGGTGTGTGTTGTACGAACCAAAGAGACCGAATCATACATAGCCTAGGTGACCAGCTCAGGTAGAGCAAGACGCTTGTTATAGGACCTGAACACTTAAAAGCCAGCCAGTCATATACAAATTTCTTCAGGCATCGAGACCTGTCTTCGCACACTGGTGCGTCTGTCTGTACATCCCACCTAGCTAAAGCGCAGTGTTGATCAAAGACCACGGGCGCTGGTGGGCCACACTATCCTCGGGGCTCCCTTCCTCTTCGCCTTCATACCGCTCCGCGAGAGGGGCCGCAAATTCGAGCATGAACTTGAGCATCCACTGGTCCATCTGGAAGTGCGAGTCGTCCTGGCACCGCAGGCAGGCCCTGTGAAAGGCCTCGAACCGGGCAAATGATATGTCGATGCAGGGCCAGAATGTCTTCAAGCGGGTGAGGAGCTCGAAGTTGCGTTCCAGCAGGCGCCGCGCGCGCTGGATGTCCGCGGCGTCGTCGCTGAAGAGCAGAATGTGCAGTTGGACGGTCGAGGCGATGGCCAGGACGTGGCCGACGATCGAGTTGAGGAGTTCGGCGCCTGCGGTCTCGCTCGCCAGGTGGATGAGGTTGCACACGTCCGTCGAGTATTTTCTGCACTTTTGCGCGTACTGGCTCCTCCTCGGTTGATGGTGCTCCTGGCCCTGCTGCTGATACGCGTGGTTCGTGCTGCCGTGGAGGAACTGGTAAAATAGGAGCTGGCATAGGTGGCAATAGTCCATGTGGAGGACGACGAATATGTTGCCGAAACCCTGCCTTGTCCAGTACAACAGGTTCTCGGACGTGTTGACCATCCTCTCGGGAAGGCTACAGGCCCAGGAGTCCAGCTCCGCTGACACGCGTTCGACGGCCTGTGTTAGTTCAGCACCTTGCAGCTCGCCGGAGACGGCTTGTGAGTTAACCGCATCGATCTGAGAGAAAATTTGGTTGACCGCTACTGAATGCGCTATCAGCGAGTCCTGTGGCACGGGTGATTTCGCCGTCGGGGATCCTCGGCTAGCAATATAGGTCCGATTCGGTGGCGCCGTGGATGAAAGCTCGAGAAATCTCTTCTCGGCCATGGGCAGCGGCACATTGCGCAGCGGCATCATCTTCGGTAGTCGCACTCCCGTCGACGACCATGTGTCCGTTTCGTACAGCGCCCACCACACTATAGCTTGGTCAGTTGTAGCCAACCTAAAAGGTGTGCCATTGGTTCCCGAACCTCTAAAATTGAGCTCCTGCTGGATCCGCGTTGTGACCGGCGCGTTAGGAAGGTCTAGAAGCATCCCCATGCGGCAAGCAATACTGAAGAAAACAGATTCTGTCGCACCTTCGCCCTCGACCACGGCGGAGGCTCCGAGCAAAAGGCATGCTTGGATAGTGGTGAGGGAAATGTCGTGTAGATTCAACAACCGCTCTGCTTCCTTGGTGAAGGGTCTACCTCGCTCTCGCGGTGGCTTCTTGATCAGACTCTCGTGCTGTGAAAAGCGTGCCGACATGCCGATGACTGCGAGCAGGAGAATTCTCGGCAGGGAGCCATTCTTGAAGGCGGCCAAGAAGGACGGCTTGTGAAACAAGACGTGGAATGAAACATGGACGTAGCGGAAGTAGAGATTGATCAGCTCTTCGCACAGGTCTGGAGGTGGAAGGAGCTTAGACTTGTGTGTGAGAGCATGTATCCGTCGAGGAACGATGGGCTCGTAGCCGTCTTCGTGGAAATCGGTCTCTTGACTCAAAACGCACTGCAAGTTCCTCTCGGCGCAGAAATCGCACGTCGTTCCCTGGTAAGAACGTATACATTTCCTCCGCCGCCTCCTACGGACCCGCATGAGCGATTTGACGTCCTTGACCAAAGGACATCGGTGACTTACCGACAGATGACACAGGCTGATTTGGGCCGCATGTGGAGCTCGGGACGAGGCCCAAACCCTGCGGTGACTTGGGGTCCCGATAGTTCCCACTCTAACAGATTGTTTTCACCATTGGTGATATCGGCCTTGGGGGCATGTGTTTAAGAGAGCGTGTGGTGACAAGTTGCCGAAAACGATCTGGTTACGCTGGTGCTGTTGGGGCAGCAAGAGGGTACTAGCAGAAAACGGTTGCTGATCTGGCTGCTATAGTAATTTGCGGGGTTGGAAACTAACTTGATCGAGGGCGGAAATTCTGGCGGAGAAAAATCTGCTCCGGTTGGTCACTCATTATTACCGCAGGTCGGCTTTTGACGCGGACTACCAGCGATTTTCATTTGTTCACACCAACATGCAACCACCTCCTGTGGGGGCACTCACACCGTCCCTCAATGCTTCCCCGGCAGTAGGCCCCTCCCTCTCCGTTCGCCTCTGACCTCGTCCATTCCGGTCACAACGAATTGGTTCTCTGACATCCTGCGGTATGATCTGCCTCTCGCACCTGGCCAGTGGCCAGCGGCGTGTGCGAAAATCATTTCACCCTCGCTGTCTCCCCTAAATAAAACTCCTTGCCTCTGCCGGCGCAGACATTCTTCTTGTGTCTGCGGCCAGACAGATTCCTTGTGACACAGACATGCTTGAATCAATCGACGGTCTAGGGCTCGGAGGGCCATCGACCGCGCAGCAGACAGAACAATGCAGGCCAGACTATGCCAACGAGGCGGTCTTCCGCCGAAATACTTTGCCGCCGCGGTCCTACTGGATCCCAAAGACCTCCCTGTCACTCAATGGTGTCTGGGACTTTTGTTACGCCAGCAGTCCCCTTGAAGCCGATGATTTCAGTCAACAAGACAACTCGTGGACTACCATACAGGTGCCAGGTCATTGGCAGCTTCAAGGCCACGGTCAACCTCAGTATACCAACATCGTCTACCCATTCCCAGCTTGTCCGCCATATCTCCCGGACGAGAACCCCACAGGCACGTATCGACGGACTTTTTCAGTGCCACCCGGATGGGACTGTAGTGCTCAATTGCGACTACGCTTCGACGGCGTCGACAGTGCCTATCACGTCTGGCTTAATGGCGACCTCATTGGCTACGCCCAAGGCAGTCGGAACCCGGTCGAATTTGACATCACGACCGCGGTGAAACGCGACAAACCCAACAAGCTGTTGATCCGCGTTTATCAGTGGTCAGACGGCTCCTACATCGAAGATCAGGACCAGTGGTGGCTCTCTGGTATGAACAATGTCCTGGGCACACAAAAGGGGAAAGCTAGATTAATGAGATGCAGGCATTTTCCGGGACGTCCACCTCATAGCATTTCCGACGACATGCCGAATTGACGACTTTTTCATCCGTGGCGACCTCGATTCTGCCTATGAGCATGGTGTTCTTCGCGTCACGACTGACGTCCACTGCCCCAAAGGCGGGCATATGGTAGTGGTCCTGCGCGAAAGGCCTGATCGTGGGGGCAAGGCCATAGCCAATGCAGAAACTGAATTTGGGGCAAATACTCCGAAAGTCGACCTTGAGATACGAATGGACAGTCCCAACAAGTGGACCGCGGAGACTCCGTATTTGTACGATGTCGAAATTACACTGATGGATGGCAGCAATTTTGACAGCGTACAACACACGACCGGCTTCCGAAAAGTCGAGCTCAAGAATGGCTTGCTCACGGTCAACGGAAAGTCCCTTCGATTCCGTGGCGTGAACCGGCACGACCACCATCCCCGGCTCGGACGTGCCGTACCACTGGAATTCGTCCGTCACGACCTAGAGCTGATGAAGAAACACAACATCAACGCCGTGCGTTGCTCGCACTACCCATCCCACCCTGGCCTCTATGCCCTCGCCGACGAGATTGGGCTGTGGGTCATGGACGAGGCGGATCTCGAATGTCACGGGTTCTCCGAGGTCGTGGCGACCAACACGGCGGACTGGGACGGCGGAGAAGCTTCTTACGAGCGATGGATAGGTACGGTATCCCAGCAGGCGAGAAAGTACTTGTCGGACAATCCGAAGTGGAAAGCCGCCTATGTCGATCGAGCCGTGCAGATGGTGCACCGGGACAAGAACCACGCCAGCGTCATCGTCTGGTCGCTCGGCAACGAGGCCTTCTGCGGGCAGAACCACGTCGCAATGTACGAGGTCTGCAAGCGCCTTGACCCGAGCCGCTTGGTCCACTACGAGGGCGACACCGGCATGGGCACCACGGACATCTACTCATTCATGTACGCGGAGGTGGATGCCCTTGTAGAGAGGGCCTCGACCCGGGACGTCGCCGCGGACGGCACCTTCACAAAGCCGGTCATCATGTGCGAGTACGCACACGCCATGGGAAACGGTCCCGGTCTGCTTGAGGACTACGAAGATGTCTTTCGCTCGCACCCGCGCATCCAGGGCGGCTTCGTCTGGGAGTGGGCGAACCACGGCCTCTCTCAGGTTCGTCCGGACGGCAAATCGTTCCATGCCCACGGCGGAGACTTTGGGCAAAAGGTCAATGACGGGACATTTGTCATGGATGGGCTCTGCAACAGCGAACATGAGCCCACACCTGGACTCATAGAATTGAAGAAAGTTTTTCAGCCAGTCTCTGTTCGTCTGGAGGGTCGAAACTTGGTCGTTGAGAATAACTACAACTTTGTCGACCTTGGGTATTTGGAGGCGACATTCAAAGTCGAGCGATTCGGTGAAAGGTGAGTCATCGCCCCTTGTCCAAGGCTCCTCATAGGTCCAACATTGCTGACAATGACTCTCAGTGCAGAGATAATCCTGGCTGGAAAACTGGAGCTTCCCCCCATTACGCCCGGTGCAAAAGGGGCTGTTAGCCTTCCTGATGCCGTGTTTGAGCAAAAGGCTGAGTTCGAGGTGATACTCACTGTGAACTTTCAACTGAGGGATGATACGACCTGGGCGCAGAAGGGGTATGAAGTTGCGTGGTTCCAGCACCAACTCTGTCCCGGATGCCGTCTTCCAATCTCTATACGCTCAGGGCCGTCCATCCCGACAATTTACTCTACCAATTCTTCCCTGACCATCTCCACAGCAAAGTCCACATTCACTTTCAGTCGAGTCCGTGGTCTGCTTAAATCATGGACCACTCCTTCTGGAGCAGTAATACCAGAGTCCTCACACCCCAAGGACGCTCTGATCCCCGGTTTCTGGCGACCTCCGACGGACAACGACAGGCCCAGAGCACTTCCCCACTGGCGCTCTTTTGGTGTAGACAAGATCAACTCCCAACTTCGCTCCATGGTTCTCGACCAGAAGACCCGAGCCCACGGCCTGACCTTGAGAACGGAGACATACATTGCTCCTCCCTCCTTGGGCTGGGGCTGGCACGCAGTCACCACATACCAGATTCAGCCGGACGGCTCCGCAATGTCAGTCTTCGTGCACTTGGAGAAGCCGGTTGGTAATGCTCCTCAACATTGCCCTCGAATGGGGGTGGATGTTGCGATGACAAAAGCCATCACCCACGTAAAGTGGTTTGGTCGTGGTCCCGGCGAGTCATATCCAGACAAGAAAAGCAGCCAGCGCCTCGGCATTTGGGATGTCGATGACATTTCTCAACTACAGACTCGATACGATGTCCCCCAGGAGAATGGAAATCGCATGGACACTCGCTGGCTAGAGCTGACCGTCTCGGGAACAGGTCCGGTAGTGAGGGTGAGCGGGATTGACGAGCCATATCCCTTCGAATCCGTCGACACCGCACAGAACCCGAGAAATAAAGTCCGGTTGGCACCCCAGCCACCATTCAACTTTACAGCGACGCGGCACTCTGCCGACATGCTCGAGAAAGCCGCCCATCCTTGTGACCTCGTTGAGGAAGATGTGACTTTGCTCCGCTTAGACGCGGCAGTCAGCGGTCTAGGGACGGGTGCCTGTGGCCCGGCAACGCGGGAGAAGCACATGGTTAAACCTGCTGCAACCAGTTTTGGGTTCATTCTGACGTTGAAATGATGGGAGCGACTCTCTTGTCAAGGAATCAATATGCTTGTGGGACAGACCCGATTCTCTGGCATGAATCTCCTGGAGAGGTGGGCAAAGTAGCGGGAACGAAAAACTAGATTAGTCAACTGTACTCGTACAGAAGCGATCGCATGATAAATGTGTCGCTCGTGGCGCCATCTAGTCGTCCCACCGTAATGTCGAAGTAGACTGACTCTCTTCAGATGGTAGTGGATTGCCTTCAAAGGACGGCTAGTCGAACGTCGCATGCTGAAGTCGGCTCATTCGCGATGATTGAACGAAGACTAACATGATGGAGACCGACTACGTTTGCCACACCCAGATGAAAATGCGCCATCAGCACCACAGGAGGATTCAAGGACGTTGAAAGAAAGCATCGAAATGATATGGTTAAAATGGCATGATTAGAGCTAACCAAGTTGGAGTTTAGCCGGGGCCGCTTTATCCTGCGCTAAAGAGGACTAGTGTATCTTGGCGGCTCTCCGCCACCACAAGCTTGAATTGAGCATCCACTGCATCCCCAGAACGCGCAACGAACCTCTTACTATTACCATGCTACCGTAACCCATCCGAGCACGGAGACAACCCTTCGCCACAAGTGCCGCTGCAAGAACCATTCGTCGGACCGTCTTACGGTGGGGCAATACAACCAAGGAGAAAGTCTTCTGATCTCCTGTCGGCTTTCCAGTCGGGGAATCCTAGCGGCGGTTTACCATGCGCCTTTGGCGGTTTTCGGGCGGCTTTGCCCTGATTGGAGGGTCTCCCACGAAAGCAAACTGGCGAGCGCCCTAAGAGAAACGTCGGCAGAAAAGAACAGCGAATTGTTCTCGAGCTGCGACCTCGATTTCCCAGAAACGATGCAAGGCTACATACGGACGGGGTTTCCCCACATGGGAGAGTCTGGATCTGGAGAGAAGCTGGAGAATGCATCATGCATATAGTCTGGAACGTCGTCGCAGGAACGAGTACAAAAGAGAGCGACTTCACCCCGCGATCTTCATTCTCAACCACCATACGGGGTTCTGGCACTGACAAAACCTTACTGTCCCCATTCAAGCACTCAGTCCAAAGTCCCTCTTGGTTTCGATATGTCGTCGACAAAGATGGGCGCTCCTGAGGAGCACATGGTGGAAGTCGTCAAAGGCGACTCGGAGATCATACACAAGCACGACGTCCTCGACCTTGCCAACGACATTCAGGATGTCAAGCCCAGTGCAACCACCCCTGCCATGTTCAAGCTGTACCTCATACTGTCCATTGGCTACTTCTGTATCATCCTACAGGGCTATGATGGTTCGCTGATGGGTGCCATCAATGCGATGCCCCAGTATCTCGATTATTACGGATTGTGAGTACTCGGGCTATCTTATTTCATGGTCGATACTCGTGTTGTCGCGCCTTCCACTACAGGCTCTTGGATGTGCCCTGTCTAGATCTTGTACTGATGTGCCCCTCTTCAGAAAATCCGCAAGCTCTTCTACTGGCCTGGTCTTTGCGATCTACAACATCGGGGCCATTGCAGCTCTGCCAATCAGCGGTCCGCTCAATGATACCTTCGGTCGACGATGGGGGATGTTTGCCGGCGCCGCCTTGGTCATCTTCAGCACTTGTATCCAGGCTCCCGCGACGTCCAAGGCCATGTTTTTGGCCGGCCGATTCTTTGTCGGGTTTGGCCAGGGGTTTTTGAACGTGGCGGGCATCACCTATGTTAGCGAGATGGCTCACCCTCACTGGCGGGGTCCTCTTTCGGCCTTCCTCGAGACAAACTACTTTGTCGGCAGTATCCTTGCCTCCTGGGTGACCTACGGCACCGCGTACATGTCCGGCACCATTTCATTTCGCCTTCCGGTATGGCTGCAGATGGTCAGCTCCGGATACATTGTCCTGGGAGTCTTCTTCTGTCCCGAGTCGCCACGCTGGCTCATGGCGCAAGATCGCTACTCGGAAGCCGAGGCCGTCCTGGCCACATACCACGGTGAAGGTTCCAGGTTGAGCCCGTTTGTCCGCCTCCAGCTCGCAGAGATGCGCGCCCAGATTTCCTCAGACGGTTCCGACAAGCGCTGGTGGGACTACCGCGACCTGTTCATGACGGCCGCAGCTCGAAGACGCTTGATCTGTGTGGTTGGGTTTGCCTGGTTTGGCCAGTATTCCGGCAACGCGCTGGTGTCGTACTACTTCCCCGTCATCGTGGAGCAGACAGGCATCACCAACCCGCACACGCAGCTGCTCCTCAACGCTCTGAACCCCGTGGTGTCGTGGATCGCCGCGATTCTGGGGTCGTTGCTGAGCGACCGCGTGGGCCGCCGACCGTTGCTGCTGGGAGGCTTCACCGGCTGCGCGCTGTGCCTGGCCGTGGTGACGGGCTTGACCAAGGTCTCAGTCACGTCCGGCGGCGCTGCGGCGGGCCACGCGGGCATCTTCTTCATCTACCTGTTCAGCGTGGTCTTTTCGTTCTGCCTCACGCCTCTCCAGCCCTTTTACATTTCCGAGTGTTTGACCACCGAGACCCGCGCCAAGGGCAACGCGCTCGGCCAGATCGTCGCCTCGGTCGCCGGCGTCGTCGGCCAGTACACGACGGGTGTCGCCATCTCCAACATCGGCTACTACTACTACCTGGTGTTTGTCTTTTGGGACTGCTTCGAGGTGCTGGTCACGTATCTCTTCTTCCCTGAAACAAAGGTACGTACCATTCGCCTACACATTACTATCCTATCCTATCCTAGCCGTCCGTCTATTTCTATTTCTTCTTCTTCTTCTTCTTCATTCCCCCCAAACTTCTCAAATCACCGCTCTCTCTCTCTCTCCTGTCATCTCTCAGCTTTGCCATGTCCTCCCCACCCTGCCCACTCTCCCTCCCGGCCAGAACAGACCAGGATCAAAACAACGCGGTATAACTAACCAACCATGAAATCCTATAGGGCCGCACACTCGAAGAAATCAACGAAATCTTCAACGACCCCCACCCGGTCAAAAAGTCTTTGGAGAGGAAAGATGCCACGGGCGTTCTCCACGCAACTCTAAAGGTGGGAGAGGCTTGAATGGATGGATGGACCTGTCTGTCTGTCTGTCAATCTCTCTCTCTCTCTCTCTCTCTCTCTCTCATTCTCTCTCCCCAAGGGATTATTTGTCGTGTCCTCTGGTCCTCTGGTCTATAGTCTATTGTCGATGGTCTATTGGGCTTGTGCAAAAGGTCAAGGCAATCGCAATCGAGGTATCAGGCATGGCGTATATAAGACCTCCTGACGGTGCCATGATCAAGCAAATGTTGAACGTCGCAGATGACAGGACAAACCCATGGAGCAAATCCTTGATCCTGCGTTGAAGTGATACGATTCGATTCTCTTTCTGTCTGGTCTGGCCTTGCTCCCTTTTCTTCTCTCTAAGTCTGCCCAGTCATTGCCCGTCTGGAGTTTTCGTCTGCCTGTCATCCAAAGCTTCGATTCCAATTTTGGTTCGCGTATTCCATTCCGTCATGTTTCGTTTCTCGTTCCACAGCCACTTCATTCCAACCACTTTACTAGACGCTCAGTCCAACTCATGCCAACTTTCATGCCAACTCATCACGCGTCATGTCCTTTTCCCACCTGAAGAGCTTCCAGAGGGCCATCAGCTTATGGGTGACCTGGATCCCGATATAGATGCAAGTCCATTCCGTACTTTTCTTGGTCCTAGAGCGTGGCTCTGACACCTTGGTGATGACCACGGCTCCTCTTAGAGACGCCGAAGCGGATGTGCTAGCAATGCTTACTTTCTCGTCGACTGGCATGCATTACGATTGCCAGTAATTTGGGTCGACCGCGCCAGACTGCATTGCTTCCCATTCCCGTGGTGCTTCAATCGCTGGGGGTTTGGAGGTGACTGAACGAAGCCGCAAAACTGGACCTTCTCCCGTATCTTGCGGATCGCCAAGCTCGCCATCAACTGTTTCCTCGAAACATTGAATTTCGGTGCTAGGATCAACCTCACTGCCATCGAGGGGATTTGTTCCTCCTTCTGTTTCCTTCTCCTAGATGAAATCGGCGGTATACGAGAACCCACGGAATTCCTCCTGGTGGGCAGGCGAAAGCACTGGAAACACATAATGTCAGCTGTCTGCGAACCCAGAAGGACACTGAACCAAAACTTACCACTTTGTACTGGTGTGAGCACCGGCGTCACACTCGTGAACTCCTGGTCGAAATTGCTTGTATCCTTCTCGTTCTTAATGGTCGGTTTGAACGGTGTGGGAACCCGTTTGTGATAGATGTCGTCCCAGTTGATGCCCTTGAAGAAGGCGTGGTTCATGATTTCTTCCGCGTCTCCGGGTCCGCTGCCTAGCCGTAATTCGGGTTCCCTTGTCAATAGTTTCTGTAGGATCGAAACACTGTCACGCGGCATGTGGATGGGATATAGGGGTTCGTCCGCAAGGATCGCGTCGTAGATTTCGTCCTCGTCCTCCCCACGGAACGGAGATTGCTGCAGCAACATCTGGTAGATGAGCACACCAAAGGCCCACCAATCAACCGCACGGCCGTATTTCTTGTCCAAAAGGATTTCAGGAGCCATGAACTCTGGCGTACCACAGAATGTGGAAGTCGTCGATCCATACCACATGTCCTCCTTGCAAAGACCATAATCAGCGATCTTGATGTGACCGTCCAGGGTGAGGAGGATGTTGTCCAATTTCAGATCTCGGTATATGACACCATTTTCGTGGAAGTATTTGAGAGCCAAACACACTTCGGCGGCGTAGAACTGAGCACGCTTAAGGCCGAATTGTCCACGCTGAATGTGCAACATCAGATCACCGCCCGAAATATACTCCATCACAAAATACACTCGAGTCTCGGTCTGGAAGCAAGCATGCAAGTTGAGTAAGAATGGGTGTCTCTCTTTGTTGGCGATCAGGAAAACTCGCTTTTCGGATTTAGTTGACTCGACTTCGTCGTTCTCAATGATAAATTCCTTCTTCAAGACTTTGATGGCGTACAGTTTCTTTGAGCTCTTAGCCTCTGCAAGCATGACCTTTCCAAAGTTGCCCTTTCCTAGTACTGCGAGGAAATTGAAGTGATCAAGGCCAATTCTCGGTCCCGATCCGCGCCCAGAGGGAGGCGTGGCTACTTGTTGTTGTGACGATGGCGCCGGTTTAATGGGGGCGGGTGCATAGCTTGCCGCTGCTGCCGCTGCTTGAGGTTGAGGTCTTTGAGATTGGATGATTGCTTGCTGTGGTGCTTGATGCTGAGGCGCCTGTTGTTGCGCCGGTTGGACATATCCTTGATAGGCTCGAGGATCGTAAGAAGCGTGTGGCTGTTCTGGTGCAGGGGGTCGAGCGTTGGCGTAACGATCTGCAGGTACTTTTTGAGGACTGTAATCATTGAACGATTGGTTGTATTGTTGAGATGGCGGCCGATTCGTGGCGGCGGCGGCTGCTTGCACTGCCGCGGTAGATACGGCCTTTTGCTGCAATGGTCTTTGCTGCTGCTGTTGTTGGAATGGCTGTGACTGGCTAGCTTGGGGTTGGTTGTACATCATGTTTTGTGCAGCGCTCATAGCAGCAGCAGAGGGCTTCGGCTGTTCTTGATGCTGATCATACGATTGGTTCGATATCTGCGGTGTTAGGGTCGTGCTATCCGAGATGAAGCTCTGTGTGGGAGACGTGGGACCCGGTCTGGCTGCGGAATTGGGTCTCAGTGTTCGATTGCTCATTCCAGAGCTCACGGACGAGGACTTATTGTGATGTTTCGTTCTCTGAATAGTCTCCAAGATTTCATTGGCGACGATCATTGACATGCCACAAAAGTCCGGAACCAAATGCTGACACTGGGCATGACAAGTCAGGCCACATTCCGAACACTTTTTCGCGTTGCGTCTTCCTAGAGGCAGCAGATAACCACAATGGCAACACCAGTTGGCACCGATATTTGAGAAATTGTCGAAGCGATGTGGAATGCGGTGGTTGATCTTCTCTTCGTCGGGGTCCGTTTCGTAGTTTGCCTTACTAATGCACTTGGTGACCACTTTCGGATAGCACTTGGTGTGACAGGTGTATTTGCAGTCTGCACATTGCATGCCCGCCGAGTACTTCAGAAAATCTCCACAAAGCGCACAGCGCATGACGTTGTAGAACTGTTGCTTGACGAACTTGTGGCCCTGTTTCTCGTGCACCTCTTCCTTCTTCTGGCGCACAGCGCCCTGTCGGTTGAGGCCGATATCGAATGGCCGTTTGCCGCCCGTTTGCTTTTGGAAACTCATTGAGAGATGAATCCTGCCTGCAGGTTCGAGAGAAAACCAAGAATCGATCATCACGGGTTGGAATTGCTGCTGGGAATTTTGGGCGAAACCAGCGGCAGAGCCGGCGCCAGCAGCGTCTCCCGGAGGCATAAATGGTGTGGATTGAAAGTCAGGTCCTGGTTTGCCCGGGCTTCCACCGTTTGCCATTTTGTCTGCAGACACCCAGCCATTCTGTTGAAATTCCGACTCAATCTTTTTCCGGCGCATTTCTTCCGCGATATCCGAGATACGAATCCATAGAAATCCGATTGGAGTTGGTCGGTCACCCGCCTTGTCATAGACCGTGAGTTCAATCTCGTTAGCCTTGTCGATGTCAACGTGATGAGTTTCCTCTGTCCATTTATCTGTGCGTGTCGCCCGAGTCTTGGCCCGAATGTTGTCCTCGACCTTCATGATGACGAACGTTTCGGGGCCTCTTGAAAAGCGTGACGAGGCTGCGTGGTCGACATCCTTAATGGCATGAATACGCATTTCGAGGTGACCTGTCAGGGGTTTTCGCATATTGGGAGCGTTGAGACTGTCATCTAGATGCAAGTCAGCTTTGCACGGGGAAATACAAGCATCAACACTTGGCCCACTCACCGTCAGCAGCATCGGACGTTTCAATGTCGACGTGCAAGTCCATGTATCGCTTCAAGGCCTGCTTGAGCAACTGAACTTTCTGATTACTCTCGATGCGCCGGCCCTCGGCATCCAATCTGCTTTTTCTATCGCCTTCGTCTTGGTACAGGCGCACCATTTTCTCGATGCCTGCTTTGTACTGTTTTTCGACTGACAGTTTGAACTCGAGTTGAGAGAGCATGAGCTGGATCTTGGGACCGAGATATGGGGTGTCATACTTGATCAGGTCTGGAAGGAAGATTTTGTGTTAGTAAACCCGAAACTCCTTCACGAGGACCTGGATGTAATAATACCTAGTTTCGAGAAGTTCGGGCGTGCTTTGGGGACCGGAGCATTGTAAGGACGAGGGTCTCCATAGGGAGCTCGAGGAGGCATCATGCCCGTACCTCCCTGGCTGTATCCTCCTGGACCAGGGTCACCATAGTCGCCTCTCTCGTTGGAGAAATAGCCTCGCTCGTCTTTGGGAGGAGGAGTCGGTCCCCCGCCGTGCTGAAATCGTGACTGCTGCATACGAGAATCTGAGGGAGTCTGGTACCCGGACCCGCCGTGAGCAGGTGGAGGGGGAGCGACGCCCTCATTATGACCCCGCTGCCTGAGTTGTAACTCTGCCAATTTTTCTTCCAAGTATGAAATGTTCCGCCTACTATCACGGATATTGCTGTCGACACGTGCTTGGACTGCGGCGTTGTTGGTAGACTGTCGCATGTGAGTGGCGGCATTGATAAGAGCCTTTTCTCGCTCGATCTTGCGATAGACCTCGGCGATGGCCTGGTCAGGGTCCGCCATGGTTGTGAGAGAAGTGATACGGAGGCGACGAGAGGGTCAAGGGAGACGGTAAGGGAAGATGTGGTGGGTGAGTTATGGCCAGCTGCAGACTTCACAGTGAACAGAAGTGCAATGTCACGAGCCCGTGTCGAGGCCGGAGGGGCATTTGTCTGACCACGCCGATAGCGAAGAATGCGGTCGGAAAAATAGAGAGGGAGAGAGACAGAGTGTTTCCCGTTGGTGGCGGAGGGAAATCTCACGGGGCCTTGGACAATATCGTACGTAGTGTCAGGACTTGAGGATAATGGCTAAGATTGTTGTTGTAGTGTTAGCGAGGACAAACATGCAGTACAGTGATGAGTGGTGGATACTTTATTGCGTGGATTGTGTGGGTGGTTCAGAAGTTCAGACTTTCAGGCTTTCAGGCTTTCAGACTTTCCGACCTTTCAGGCTTTGCGGGAGCCGTTGGTGGTGACTGCAAAAAGACGCCTGCAGCTGCAGTTGCGACTGCGCCCACTTCGCTCGGTGCGCTTCGAGGGCTGAAGAGGAGACTGTCCGCCACGCCCTGGCCAGGTCACGTCCCGGTCTCGGGTGTTTTCTCTGTTCTTTGCCACAGTACAGAGGCGGGAGAGGGGGATGGGACGGCGACCAAGTACCGAGTACTAATGATGGATAGAAGCACCACAGAGTGATTGGGCGTGACGTAGCACTGCTAGAGGAAAGAAACAATAAACAAGCAAAGGTGGTGAAACTTGAGTGCGACGATCCTCCGGGAGGGTTTGTTCTCGCTCCTCTACTCAGGGTCTGCGCCTATTCATACCCCTCAGAGGCCGCCGAGGGCACCCAGAGCCTAAGAGCCTAGCCTCTAAGGCTACAGCGCTGCCTAAGTAATTGGGTTATGGGAAGGGTAGAGCACGCGAGGGGTGCCTGGGGTTCGCATTTGGGCATCCCCTCGCCCAGCACTCGCGTCATCAACCATATAAAAGTCACCAACAGGAAATTTGCAATGACAAAAGCTGCAGTCACTCATCTTTGCCATTTCGAGCCTCAAAGGATTCAATCCCTCTCCGCTTCAGCACCGTCGAGTGCTTGTCCTGGTCAATCTGAGAGCCCATATTTATTGATGTCGATGGGCTCAATCTTTCCAACTCCTACGACTGAGGCAATTGACTCTCTCCTCGCTCAACCCCTCATTCACGCCTCGTCCTCCCCGCCAACTCCCTCCCCGCCGTACAAGCTTGCCCTGTCCTTGTCCAGCCACCTACCCAGTCCTTAGTCTCGCATGCCCACACTTCCGTCCAGCCCTAAGACCTACAAATAGAAACCTCAATCTCTGCTAATGCACACCGTCCACTAAACGAGAGAAATGGATTGATTACAAGAGGCCCTTTGCCCACTGATCTCACACATATATCGGACCGAGCAGCTTTGGACGCATCCCACCGCGGTCGCGCTTGATGCGGCTGAAAGCTGGTCTCAGACGGTCAGACAGGGGTCGGATTTGAGCTTTCCGATCGCACAAAAGTGCAACGATTTCTGACTCTCGATCCTCCTCCAATGCCTTGGTGGCCTTGGCTGATATTTCCGGCTCGTGCTCCACTTCCTGCAGATCAGAGTCCTCTGCACTCAGGTATTTGTTATATATGCTCGTCGCCCTGTCTTCGGTGACGTTGAACATCCAGGCTGTGTCTGATTCCTGCAGGCTCATGAATATTGATCACACTATCAGTCTGCCGCTGGACCCGTCCCCATGACTCCACGTCCGAAGAACTCGCTGACCGTTCCGAATCGGTTGTTACTTCTTGCCAACGCCGCCTGGAATAATTCGTGCTGCTCCGTGCTTTCAACTTGCTGTCGCCGGATTGCCCGAATGGTATCGTTTCCAGGTTTGCAAAGGGGACACTCCACCTTACTGTCATTTTCATCCATGCCAATTCCCGGCTTGTTCAAGCACTCTTGATGGAACGAGTGCTTGCACATAAAATGTACTGTGGGTAAAGTGAGGTTTCGATTACACGACGAGCACCGCCGCGCTTGGAATACGACCGGCTTCGTACTCAGGTCCGCCAGTTCTGCTTTTTTGGATGCAGTTTCAGTTCGGTAAGAGTCGATCAATCGCCGGTTAGCCTGGATCTCCTTTCGCTCACGAGAGATGTTGTCCGAAAGGTAGCCCTTGACCATTCCCATCGTGACTGAGCCCCCTTGCGACAGGACTTTCACTACTTGGAGCGGGGCCATGAGATTTTCCCTGTCAATCTTGCGGAGCACAGATTGGAGCTCTTCTCGTACCCCAGGTGCGTTGAGGACCTCTTCGCATGAGGAGAAATAGCCAAGTGCAAGTGGATAGAGCGATTCATCCTTGGATCCGTATTTCCTGAGTGCAGATATGGCGCCAGAGGTGTCCTTGGCCGATGTGAACGACCGAAATATGTCGGCGTACAAATTCTCCCGTTCTCGTACTAATGTCGTGCCAGCTGGGAATTTGGAAAGTGATGACAGGAGCAAGACATTCGAGGTGTCAATCGTGGACGAATCCAATGATGCGGTCTTGTTGTCGGCGACTAAACTGGTTGCTTTGACTTGCCATTTATCTTTCTCTGCCGAGCCTGTTGCAGTGTTTGCGGCCTCGAGATACATCTCGAACAAAGTGGTCGACAAGTCCGATTTGTCTTCTTTTGAGAGGTTTTCCTCTAGAATCAGCGCCTCCAAGAAGGTGATAAACTCTGAGGGGTGGGCAAGGAACGAGGAAAAGGCGCTGCGCGGACGCGGTTTCGTGTACGTCGGAGCTGGCTCGACATCGCCACTGGACCCTGCTTCGTCGTGCTCGGGCTTTTCCTCTGCTGCCGGCGCCGCATCAGTACTGGCAGACCGATTCATGAACGGTACACTCCAGAGAGCTGAGAGACTTTGGAATGCACCACCTCCTGTCTGAGCCTGGACATCGGACACCGCGGGGACATCCTTCTTGGGTGTATATTTCCCAGTGTAGTATTCCACAAACAGCTTGGTCGTTTCTTCAGGGCAGTGTTCGAGGAGACTGCGGGCATATTTCATCAACACGGGATATGCTGCGTCAGGTTCCAGCCGCCAGATGTATTGTAAGGCTTCCGCGTACTTCTTTGAGTCTTCCACCAATATGTCGATCACCAATTCATTTTCACCATGTTTAGTCGCAAGGTAAGCTGCCTGGTCAAAATACCCGCCTTGTCGACACATAGCAATGGCCGTTTCAACGTCAAACTTGGCCGTCCCCGGAGTGCGGATGAAAGCGTCCAGCTTATCTGTGTCCTTGAGCTTTGCATAGCAGTTTAGCAGCAGAGTCGTGTGGTCTGCCGTTGCTCGGTCGTGGTCATGGAGTTCCTCGAGATAGTCGATCAAGTTGTGAATTCTTTGCGTGTCGAGAAATCGCCGGATGACTTGTGAAGGCTCGGTGTTGTCGATGGCTCTCAAATACTGCTGCATCGCCGTATCGTAGTCGCCTTTTTGGTACAGATAGTCCCCATACTTTCTGAAGATGATGTTCTGTTGTGTCTTGTCGGCACCCAACTTTTGGGCCAAGTTGATGGCGTAGATATAGAGGTTTCGCTGATATAGAATCTCGAGCTTCTGCTGCAGCGTCTTCTCCTGATATCGATAAAGCTATTCTAAATATCAGCATAACGACTCAACCAGCAAGCTTGAAAAACGGACCTTTCCATCCACGGTCAGCAGAAAGAGTTCGTTCCATTCGACGAAGACCTCTTTGACCGGAGCGGGCAATGATTCCGAGTGAGCAAGGTATTTGAGATCGGTGTCTAATAGTGTGAAGGACGAGCTGCTGAATAGCTCGTCAATCTCCTCTCCCCCCAGCCTTCGAAATGTTTTGGACTTGGACATCTGTGCCACGCGCGGCGGACACACAACGCCAACATATTCCTTGTAAATCTTGACGATTTTCTTCGGGCCCTCAAAGGCATAGCTGGGCCCACGACCGTTGGGGCCGTAGTAGTAGATGGCATCTTCTCGCGCGACCACAATGTCACCGGTCTCGTGGTCTTGTGTCATACATCCAACGTTGCAACCTCGATTGTCGACGGTGCGCACCGGTTGACCCTGGCCTTTGCCGGATATAACCAGGCTGCAGATCTTGGCTGTGTTTGCAATGTATAGGACCTTTGTCGCGCCTTGACGGACCTCCAAGCAGGTGATGGGGTCTTCCGATTCAAAGACGGTCCTTTGCTTGGTCCCGCGATCGTGTATAAAGTCCCCCCGAATGACCGTGACGGATCCATTGGCAAACCCCACGGCCACCTGCGTCAAGTCATCCAGAACCACCAGTGCCGACGCTGGAAATTGCCGCCTGCCATTCTGCACACTGATTGTACAAAGACATCTCGGAGCCCCCGTCTTTTTCTCGATCTTGTCCAACGCCCACACTTTCAAGGAGGGTTCCGACGAGAGGTTCTCTGAAATGGTCACAAGGAACGGAGTGTTGGGCACATGTCTGAGGTGCGTGACTGAAGCATCGGGCGCGTCCGAAGCTTGAAAGGTGCGCACAATCTTCAATGCGCGGGAAAGGATGCGAACTGATCCGGCCGAAGTACCAAGGTACAAGGAATCCGCGCCGGTCGTCAGTGACACGACGTCGTTCTGGAGTCGAGATCAGCCATAAGGTCACTGCAAGTCTATGCGACGGGCAAGAACGTACGTCGAAGACATATGAACCATCTTCGTCTGCAGGAACAGGAATCTGGGAGACCTCGAAGAACGGGAAAGCTTTCCAGCTGGTGAGCGCCATGACTCCTCACCTCAAAGACCGGTCTAGCAAAACGCACAAATCCATGTCAGGGAGAGACGGGCCGGTCAGGGCAGTCAAAACATGTTACTCATTGTGCTGATGGTGAGACGAGAAAATGCCTGGTGGTGCTTGTTCCATTAAGTGTTTGGTGTTGCGGAGGTGACGTCGAGATGGAGAAGCAACAAGCGCAGCCTGAGATGGGCGGGCTGGCTGCGTCCACACGCTGGGTTTGCACTCTTCAGCACAAATTCTACTCGATACTGAGGGCTTAAATAATGGCTTTACATATTATCTAGGTACATGTGAGACTGGTATCCTGTCCAGTACTGTACAGTACTTTTCTTTTTACCAGCTGGAATAATCCGCGCTCAGTAGAATAAAAGTGATATCGTGACAAGCATCTCGGGTCATTACAAGGTCATCAGTCCTTCCACCTGTTGCGAGTTTCACTGCTCCCAGCTGAATCTGTCAGCCGGGGTGTTCGATCGCACAGGTGGACCAGGGGGACGTTCTTCCGTCACGGTGGTCAGCCCTTCCTCGACAAATCTGCTTCCAGAACTGGGTGAGCGTGATGGAGGACGTCCGTTCAGCTGTGGTACCAAAAGGCTGCCACGGCTCGTGCTCGTTGCCGGGCTGGTACTTCCTCCAGGCAGTAGTTGTGCTTGGGATCTTGATGTAAGTTCTGGTGATATTGGACTGGACATGCTCCTGCTATTGGTATTGCTGGATTGTCGCGAATGACCATCATGGCTGGCACCCACTGGGCTAATACCCTGGTCCCCGGAAGACACAGTTCCAAACGCACGGCTGTGCCTGACACTATACGGGCTGACACTATTGCTGAAGCGATGGTTGACCTCCGCTGGTGAATACGGGGGTACCGGTGACCCAGATCTCTCGCTAGCTGCTGCTTCAGCCGCCTTGTTTGCCGAGTGCTGCTGTTCGAGCTCTGCCGGTCTCCGGGGATCGTTCCTCATAAGCGCTGATCCCCGGGGAGCTTCATTGCTCTCGAAAAAACTCGGAGAGACAGGGCCAGCCGGCATTTCGATTGGCGTGCTGGCTGCGAGTTCGAACCGGCTAACGGATGGATCTGCAGGAACCTCGGTTGGTTGCCGTTTGTCACCTAGCAATTCAGAAACAGAGGTCTTTGAGTCGGGGTGCTTCTGTAGGCGACTAAGGAATGACCGTCGCTTCTCCTTCTCCGTGCCAGAGTTTCCTGGTTCATCCCTCTTCCGGAAACAGAACCACAAAGCCACTCCCAATGCAAGCAATGCTCCTATTCCAGCTCCTATCCCAATGCCTATTTTGGCGCCCGTCGACAATCCGCTTCCCGGGGGCCCTGGCCACGTGCTGCCTTCGGGTCGAGAGATTGCTAGAAGGTTGACATTGCTAACGGCATCCAATGTAAACACGGCCTGGGAGATTGAGAAGTTGTTGCGTTCGTAGTCAACAGTAAGATAGGTCTCTTGAAGGAAGGCTCGACCGATGGTATATTGTGTGGAATTGGCTGCTTTGCGTAGGGGAAAATAGTTGGTGGGAGGAGAGGTGAAGTTTGCGTCCAGATTTGGAAACGGGTATGTCAGCTGAAGATTGAACGCATCGTACGGTAGCGTAAGTTCAATCCCGTCGGATGAGCCTGGCAAATTGCTCAATGTGAATGTGAAAGTCAAATTCCACGCACTGAGAGCGCTGGGTGACGATGAATTATCGTCTGGGAAAAGGTAAAGTTGTAAAGTGTCGTCGTAAGTCAAGTTGAGCGCATTTGCGAAAGCGTCGCACGCTGGTTCGGGGAGCCATAGGAATGGAGTTGACGAGTCAATGGTGAACAAGTCAGCTTGAGATATATCCAGAAGAGTTTGGGGGTTGGAATCCCAATTAGACGGTAAAGATTCGGCCCCTGATGAAAGCGAAATCGAATTGATGGCAACAAT